CCTCTCCTCTCCTCTCCTCTCCTCTCCTCTCCTCTCCTCTCCTCTCCTCTCTTCCTCTTCTCTCCTGCTCTCCTCTTCTGCTTTCGCTTCCCTGTGAAGGCCCCCCTTAGGGAAACCCAGAACTCTGGAGTTCCGGGTTATTGCAAGGGGGTCCCCAGAACACCGGGATTTCCGCAGCCGGTTTGCCCCTCCAGGTTCCCGGGTGTTCGTTCCTGGGCCTTTTGGGGCCCCCTTGTGGCCACAGGTTTTGGGGCTTCCAAGAGGCGGTGAAGCTGGCCCAGCTGCCCCAGCTCCGCGAGATGTTCGCCCCCGCTGGTGGGGTGTCTCCACCAGCAGCGGGGGGCGCCTGAGCCGGGCGCCGGTGGGGCAGCGCCAGGGGGTGTCCAGTGGGGTCGTCACTGCCCCCTGGAGGTCGAGGTCCGAGGATGGAGGAGGGGGGGACGAGGATCGAGGAGTTCAGGAGTTTTCGGACGTGCTTGGGCGTCTCTGGGAGTCTTCTGGAGCTGTCCTGGGGGGTCCAGCAGGGCCCGCTTCCTCTGGCGGCGGTGGCGGCCCCCCTGGGAGGCACCCCCCTGGCATTGCCCCGGTCGTGCGGGGGTGCGGCGCCGGAGGGGAGGGCCGGTGCCTTTGTCAAGCAGTGGCGAAGCGTCCTGGCGTGCCCATAGGCCTACTAAACAATGTTCTAAGAACCTTTTGTGGTCTCCACGAAATGTTCCTAGAACATTTCTGGCTGGGACTGTCTTGCTTTATCACATCGGATTTATGTTCTAAGAACACTGTTCCCCAATCAGAGCTTGCCTCTGTAGGGGTCCAATCGGATTCATATGGTTAGGTGACGTATGGCGCCGATTCCGGCGGCACGCCCGGATGCCTGGGTGCCCGGTAGCCTTATAGGTATATAGCCCGATAACCTAAAAGCCTTATATAGCCCTATAACCCTGTAGCCCTATAATCTAATAGCCCTATAGCTCTATAGCCCTAATGGCCCTATAACCCAATAGCCCTTTCGCCCTTTCGCCCTATAGCCTTAGAGCCCTATAGTCCTGTAGCCCTGTAGCCCTACAGCCCTATAGCCCTGTAGCCCTATAGCCCTATAGTCTCATAGCCTTATAGCCCTATAGTCCTATAGCCCTATAGCCCTATAGTCCTATAGTCCTATAGCCCTACAGCCCTATAGCCCTATAGCCCTATAGCCCTATAGTCCCATAGCCTTATAGCCCTATAGCCCTATAGCCCTATAGCCCTATAGTCCCATAGCCCTATAGCCCGAGAAAGATTCTGCTTGGGTTTTACCTGATATTATTTATGTTCTTAGAACATTTGGTGGTTCTGAGAACATTTCGTGGTAGGCCTACGGGAATGCTGGGATTTTCGGTCCCTGCTCAACTTTGGAGCGATGACGGGGGCTCGTGTCACGCTCGGCAATCTTTTCCTCGAGCCACTCGGAAGGCAGTGGCGAGGCCTTGCGCGGGGGGGTAGCACGGGCGCTGCCCAAAGAGAGAAAGAGAGAGAAAAGGTGCTGCTCTAGTGGTGCTCTGCTAGCCTGGAGCTCATCGCCCTGGTATCGCCACCTCGGGTCCACTTGACAACGGTGCGGAATGAGATCGCGTCAAGTGCTTCATGGACTCTGGTCGTGGAAGGATGATCAGGAGGATGTGTAGGAGGTGAATCTAGAGGACTTGCTGAAGTAGTGAAGGGGGAGGCGGACGATGAGGACGGTGAGGATTGTGAGGGTGCTGATGAGGGTAAGACGACACAGAGGAGCATGAGAAGGAGGAGAGACCATAACGGAAGCGGATAGGGAGCAGGCGAAGCGGAGAGGAAGTGGAGGTAGATTCGGTGGAGAAAGAAACGCAGAAGGAGGCGCTATGTCTCCTGGCTCTCTTGCAAGGGTAGCGAGATCGCAGACTCTACAGCAGGTAGAATGACCATCGGACCTTGTGGAGTTACGTGCGAGGAATGGCAGTAAGAGGCGGCGGCATGATGAGCTCAAAAGGGGGACAGGCAGCTGGTGGCCGACAGCTGTGGCGGCAGCAGTGACGGTGGATAGTCAACTGCAGGTGCATGGGCCCGCTGACCTGCAGGGGCGGTGGGCGTGCCGCGGCGGTTCCTCTTCCACCGCGATCGCTGCAGATGCCGCTGGCGCCTGGCCTAGGTCCAGCACCGCGGTTTGCCTTCCTTCTACTCTCGCTTCTTCTTCTCCCTGCACCTCTCTCCCTCTCCTCTTTCCTTTCGTTTCCACCTCACTTACCGTTGGGTGTTGGGCGATGACGGATGGTGATACGTGTCTACGTTATGGTGAGCACCGGTGTCCTTTTCCAGAGGCTGCGTCGGGATGCGCCATCTGTCTGGGGCACTGGCGACTAGGCGCAGCCACCGACCGAGAAGAGGAAACGCGGCCACTCTATGCGTGGTATGTTATCTCTGCTTTGGACGGTGGAGGATGCATGTTTCTTGGCCCCCGCAGACTGTTGCACATGCTTGCGAGCGCGTCTTCGCATGCTGTGGATGGTGGGATGGATGGGTGACGCACACCCCTGAAGTAGGCCACTAAGCTAGCCTTGTAAAACTGTCGCATGCACGGTTTGCACTTGCGTATCGCAGACACGTAACTTGGCACACGCAACCATCACGCATTCTGCTGTGGTCCGTGGGAGACTCACTGGTCGGCAGCCCAAGCATGTCGGACCCCGTGGTGGCCTTGTGCAAGCGTTCGGCCGTCACGGTGCTAAGCTCTTCACATGTGTTTCTCGAACGTGCCGTGCTAGGTGCGCGCATGATGCCACGCATGCCTGGACCGTTCGATCTGAGGTGGACCTGACCAACCAGGCGTGGAGTACGGTGGCGTAGTTTTGAGGGCGACAGCCCGAGCTCAGCGAGTAAGTCGCAAGCAACGGAAACCTAAAGTCGACAGTGATTTTGGGTTCCCTATGCCCCGTGGCATTTTTTGGCGCCCCAAAGGCATTCGCCAGAGCTCGCCATGCCATCCCCAAGTGCTGCGCCAGCATGCCTGCACGTGTGATCGACATGTCGTCACTGAGTCTTTGGTCTTGGACGGGTTTTTCTCATCGTCCTGCCGAGGCGCCGAGGGCTTCGCGCAGCAGTTGCGAGCAAGCTGGCGCGCGAGGCCTTTCCATCTACTCGACGAGCTACGGAGGAGGGGGGCTGAGCTTTTCCACCTTCTACTGCCACTTCCTTCGTCATCCTTTGATTATGGCGTATGCGTATCATTATGATCGCGCGGTGAGTCTTTGATAGCGCCATCACCAGTAGTATTAGTGCCATTACTGGTTGTAGCAAGTGGTACTGGCGATCAGCCCGGGCAGTCCCCCCCCCTACAATTGCCAACTTGCGGCCCTCTGGGAGCCTCATGGAGGCTGCTAGGAATCCTCTTGGAGCTCTCGTGTGCTCATTTGGTCTTTCGAGGCCCTCTTGGGGCTCCCTGGGCGCACGTCTCTGGGCATTGGAGCCTCGTCGATTGTATCCTGAAGGCCGACAACCAATAAGGAGGTATTTGTGTTTGAGCCCGACAGAGGCCCCTCTTGGGGCCCCCTTTGTCCATCTCGTAGCCATTCAGAGCCAACCGCAAGCCGAGAAGGCGAGATGACGACCCTCATCCAACAAATGTAAGGGGGCTCATGGAGCCTCTTCGGGGCCTATGGTGTTTTTTTAGTGGGCCTCTCAGAAGCCTCTTAAGGCCTCTCTGGCGCTTCTAGGGGGCTCCTGGGGGCGTGTTGGGGGTCTTCGGGGATATCTTTGCCTCTCACGGGGCCAGTTCGAGCTTCCAAGGCTAGTTCGAGTCCCCCATCTTTGGCCCCTCTCGGGGCCCTCTCAGGATCCTCTTGCGGGGTTCAAGGCTTAGTACTTGTACGGCTAATGCTACACATGCTGCTGCGTTGGCTGTTTCATCTGTGAAGGGATTGGCGGCAAGGGGGTACGCAGAAGTAGCTGTGGGCAGGACGGAGATCCATGTACATTCGGACCAGTTCCATAGGGCCTCCATGCCGGCATTGCTTCCAATGCGGTTGTCGTCTCCCCGCAGCCTTCCCTTGCCAGCTACCTGCTCCATTTTCGATTCGGCTGAGTTCTCCCAGCAGGACCCTTGTGACGTGCGACATCACGTGGGACGGCAGACACGAGTCGAGTCTTTCTGGCATCGACGACGGGCAATTGTGCTGCTTGTGCGAGGAGCTCAAGTTGTTGTATGCCCCGCGGCTCGACGACGCACGCCTTACGAAGTATCCGCTTCTGCTGTTCTGCATGGTTCTGCACACGCAGGACGCCGGTGGGCTTCTCGCGCCTGTTCGTCTGAGTGCCAGCAATACCTCCTTTGCTTGCGTGGATGGGAATCATAAGTGTAAGTGTCGACCCACAGCTGCAGCCCGACTCGCCCAATGTGTGTTCGTCTAGAATCCGTGGGTTTCTTCCAGACATCCGTAGCCATTTTGGCTCAAGTCGGCAATGTTGGTTCAAGTCAGCATTTTGGGCACGAAGCATTGTATGTAATTTAGCGTTGTGTTTCAATGGCGCCATTGATATTGTTGCTGAGCGATAACTTGCCAGCCTGTTTGGCTGGCACCACTGCTGTCGGGACCGCCTGCTTCTGCTGGCTCCGGCGCAGCAAGAAGATACACCCACAGGAGTCACAGGACAACCCACGGGAGCTGGGGACACTAAAGGAATTACGAGAGCTCGTCTCCGGCAAGCGAGTGTTGCACGTCAAAGGTTTCGGCGGCGGCTTCGGCAACGGAACGCACAGTGCCGACCAAGAAGCCAGTCAAGCTCGCCGCGCTGTCCAAGCCATCCAAGGTTTCGGCCCAGACTACTTGGTGGTCGACGGCGATCCTTGGGGCGAGGGCTTCCAGCTCTACGTCAAGGCTTACGCGGACGAGTGCCGGAGATCCCAGATGTCAGTGCCAGAGCTCGTCTGGGTGAAGGACATCAAGGGGGACTCGCCCACCAGTGAAGAGCGCGCGAAGAAGCTCGGGAAGGCTTCAGAGTGGGCCAAGGAGACAGGTCTCAGAGTGGTAGTTTCGTGGCTGCCAGAATCCGCTATCGCTGACCGCATGAATAGCTTATTCGGCACGGACTGCTCGGAAAAGCTGAAGGGGAAGAAATTCGACGTAAGGGGCGAAGTGCGGTTGTTGTCAGGTCAGCTCGAGTGGGTACGACGAATGGCGGAGGCGAGTGATCCATCGCAGAGAGAAATTCTCAGGGCCATAGAAGCCGTGGAGAGCAGGGAAAGCAAGCAGTGCTTCGAGAAGTGCAGCTTCGAGAATTCCGCCAAGGGCGATGCGATATACCAGCATCTGAGGGGCGATGGGCACAAGCCGGGCGCACATGGGGCCGTGAGCTTCGGGGGCGGCGAGAGCGTGCTGCTTGAGTTCGCAACCCTCTTCCTGTTCCCTGGCTCTGGCTTCGACAGGGATCAGGCCGCGCTCTTGCCGTTCACGCGTGGCAGGGGCGATTCGGGCCCGAAGCTGCCTGAACACGAGGGCAGCGCATTCAGAAAATGAAGAGGTGCCTTCGCGGAGGTGATAGACGATAGGCATGTAAGCGAATACCGTAACCAATTCGGAGCACACTGCACGATGAGGCATGGGCCCATAATATTCGCGCCGCACATCAGGTAGTAGCGTCAGCCACTTGTTCAGGGTGTTCTCGGGGAGGTTTCAATGCTTTACGGCGCAATCGCGACGAACGGTTCTACAAAAAATAGACATCCGTTTGGTGCCGGAAACGGTGTTGCACTAGTCAATGAATCGTTTTGGTCTGCCACCGGCATTGTCTTCACGCTGCGTGCAGCATGTGGCTTCTTTCTCAATGTTCAATTTTACTCAGAACTCTGTGTACTTAGGTGAGAGCGGGAAAGCCAGACTTTTGCAACAACGTGCGGTGAGGTTGAGTTCGCACATCCGCCGAATAGTTTCACTGCGCCCTACCTTGTCCCGCCATTCGTACTTCTTGGTTGCACCTTCCTGATCCCATGCGCGAGCCATGTGTCTTCCAGAGATGGGGGTCGCCGAGAGTAGCAGCGTCTGGTCGTGATCTTGCTGGCCCCAACACCAGCAGCATCAGCAGCAGCAGCACCACCACCAGCAACAACAACGTCGGCAAGAGCAGGCGTAGTAGTGTAAGCCAACATCGACAGCTCGAGCGACTCCGCGGGCCCCGCCCACACCCACCCTCCCTGCCGCGACATGGAAGCCACTGTTGGCACAATCCAGGAGGGAAGAAGGAGGAGGAGGAGGAGGAGGAGGAGGAGGAAGGAAAAGTAGGGAGGAAGAGGGGGGAGGAGGAGGGAGGGGGAGGAGGAGGAGGAGGAGGAGGAGGAAGAGGGAGGAGGAGGGAGGAGGGCGGAGCAACAACATTCGGTGTGCTATGTGAACTTCCCACGCGGAGGGGACACGACGTGGGACGTGATTGCCCGGGCTGAGAAAGCAGGAAAGCCGGCCGCACCCCGACTGATGAATCGGCCGTTGTGCGTAAGTTTCGATTGTGAGACATTTTTGCGCTCACTGCTAATGGGGGCCTTCGCTGGCTGGTGGGAGCATTGATCACTTACGGCCTCCGCCTTTTGTGAGCTACGTACGCGCAGGGCACGTGGGCTCTCACCGCTCGTATGGTTTTGAGTGCTTGAGTGCTTGTGCGTTTGCACCGGTGTCTGGACGGTGTATGCGCTCCCACTGGCCAGCCATCGCCGAAGTCATGAAAGAGCGCGTGCCGCGCCAGAGCAGCAGGACCCTGCGCGGCACTGGAGCCAGAACGGCATCTCTCTCTCTCTCTCTCTCTCCTGCGTGCGGCCGCGCTTCCGGCGCGACTGGCGAGCAAACAGATGTGCGCCGCGCTCGCGCGGGAGTAACGCAGCCAGAACAAATACCTGGAATGCGCTCCGGCGAGGGGCAACGCACTGTTTTCTGGCGAGCGGCCCAGCCCCTGACCAGGTCTGGCGGTATAGAGCACGCGCGGCGAGACAGCTGGAGCAGAGCTCCAGCCGAGCTTTGTGCCGTGCTTTGCCGATTTCGGCTTGTCGCGCTCTTGGACGCGGCCTTGGTGCCGATGATTCGGTGAGAGGAAATCATGCAGCGTGCAGAAGCGGGAGCGCAGCTTTCCGGGAACATCTGCGCGCTTTGTTTCGAGGCGGGAATGACGTTTCGCTTGTTCGCGCACGATCTGAGCCGCTTCCCGTTCTTGCCGCGCATCTGGCACGTCGAATACAAAGTGCCCAGGTCGAGTTGGGGAAAAGCGTAGACAAAGTGTGTTTCAGGATGGGTGGCGTGGAAAAAGGGCTTGTTTTCGTCGCCATCGAGGCATAACTGGAGGCACTATGAGAGCGTAGTATCAAGTAATCTCGATGGGGTGAATATTTTGAACAAGTGTGAGCCGAGAAAGCAAAGCGAGAGCAGTGGGGTGAGGAGTGCCGATCAGGAGGATGATGGTGATAAGGAGAGGGGGAGGAGGAGGAGGATCTTAGGATCATCGAAGTTATGAGAAGGAGCGCACATGAGCGCAAGCACGAACACGAACTGTAGCAGGAACAATATCAAGGGCTGGAGGATGAGAAGGACCAGCAGGATTACTAGCATGAGCAGCGGCAAGAATGGGAGCAGGCCGCCCAAGTTTTCCAATGGTCTTCCATGTGCGAGTGAACAGCAGCACTCCCCCCAGTGTTTAGACTCGGTTTCTTCTTTAGGTTGCCAGGCCATACCACACACATTGATACCCACTGGTCGTGAACTGTGCTCGGCCCCATCCAGATGTGTGCGTTCTCAGGATTCCGAGACGAAGCACCTGGCATCAATGGAGCACGCCAGGTGTCGCCACCGTATACCATTCACACGAGCCGCGGTTTAACGGTAACACGTCGGACATTTCGGATAGCGATGGGTTTCGATCGCGCAGGTCTAGTATGCCTTTCGCTTTGCGGGGTGCACGTCCAGACCACGTCCTGGGAGCCTGTGGGGGGCCTTTTGGAGGCTTCTCGGGGCCCTTTTGGGGCCTCTTGGGGGCCTCTTTGGGGCCTATTGGGGTCGTCTTGGGCAGTCTTGGGGCGCCCTTGCGCCGTCTGGCCCCTTCGGAGGCCGTCTTGGGGGCCTCTCGGGGCCGCCTTCGGGCTCTGTTGGGGTCGTCCTGGGCAGTCTTGAGGGCCTCTTGGACCGTCTTGTGGGCCTCTTTGGGCCGTCTTGGGAGTCTCTTGGGCCGTATGGGGGCCGGCCGTCTTGGAGGCTGCTTTGGCCGTCATGGACGCAGTCGGAAAAACCAGGTTTGTCACGAAACTGTCGGTTGTCCATGTGCGTGGTCGTTTCTTGGTGGTACATGACGCTGTCCAGATCCCCCAGCGCGGGGTCGTATTCAGAGTCGTCAGTCTGTCTCTGTGAACCACCTGTCTGCGTCAGCTTGAAAAAGGTGGCCATTCCAAGCGCATTGCTACGAATCCGCGACTGCATTGGGCAGCGTAGTAAAGCCTCCTGTAAACCTTCACGCTGTCTTCCGAGTCAGCAACGCCAAAAAGCAAGTCCGCACCCACATCTAACACCATGTCCTTCACAGGGTCGCCAGAAGCATCAGGATCGGCGCAACAACGGCGCACTTCAGCAACCCGCGCACGGTCGTTCGTGTTGGCTCCACTTTGGAGAACCACGGCCTACAATTCCCAACTTTCCAAAACTCTTGGTCGCCCTCCCTTGCTTTGTTTGTTAAAGAGTGGTTTCGTTTTCACAGTTTATGTAGATTTTAATCATTACCTCGTACTGTGGCCGCTTCAATTGCATCAGCAATGTTCTATTGTCGTCGCTGCGTGCAGCATTCGCAGGAGCTGAATTGCTGGCACTGCGGGCGGCCAGTTGCGCATCGTCTCCCAGGCTTTCCCGACGCAGGGTTTTGTGCTGCTACTGACCGCACGTTCTGCATCTTCGCCGCTTCTATGATGCTGCGCTAACATGGCAATAGTGTCTTTGGCATTTTGACGCTGAAAATCTGTGAAAAGTGATTCGTTTTTAGCGCGCTTCATCATGATTGCGCCCTGCAGCGAAAATAAGTTTGAGACACGAGATGGGTCGAGAAACCGAGTCAGCAAGGTGATCGCGGACGTACTGGCGTAGAGAAACCAAACGCTTATCGATTGCTGTTTCCGAGAGTTTGGGCGGCATGGCAGGCCAGGGTCGTTGAATCGAGAGCCTGGATGCCGTGGGTTCGAAACGGCCCCGGCTAGTACCAAGAGAGGGGCGATGCACAGGCACATGCACAAAACACAGGGTCCCAGCCCCAGAAGAGGGGCAAACTCTTGGCAATTGCGTAGAAGCACAGCAAGGATTAGAGCCACAGGACCGACAGGGGCAATCTATAGGCACATACGCAAAACATGTACGGATCGAGCCACGGGAGAGGGCAAATCTATAGGCACACGGAAAACACAGGTTCGAACCATCGGAGAGGGGCAATACATAGGCACATAGAGCAATCTGTAGGAACATACGTACAACAAATAGGGTTCGAGTTCCCAGAAAGTGGCAATCAAAAGGGACATACGCAAAACAAATGGGTTTCAAACCCCAGAGAAGGGGCAATCTATAGGAACACACGAACCCCGTAGGGTTCGAGTCACAGTAGATGGGCAATCGATAGGAGCATATTTAAAACAACAGTGGACCACAGGAAGGGGCAGTCAATAGGAACATACGTAAACCACATAGGATTCGAATTCCAGGAAAGGGGCAATCTGTAGGAATATATGTAAAAACGCAACGGAGCCGATCCCCAATGAAGGAACTATCCATAGGATCATACGTAAAGCGCACAAGGTTCGAGCCCCAGGAGGGGCAATCTATAGGCACACACATACAACACATTGGATTCGAGCCCCAGGAACGGGGCAATACATGGGAGCATACGTAAAACACATCGGATTCGAGCCGCAGGAAAAGCGGCATTTCAGTTGAAACAGAGGCAACAATGTATAGGCACATACGTAAAACACATCGGTTTCGAGCCCCAGGAATGGGGCAGTTCTTAGGAACATTTGTAAAACATGTAGGAATCGAGCCCCAGGGAAGAGGTATTTCAGTTGACATCGCGTCAATAATTTGTAGGAACGTACGTAGAACACACCAGATTCGAGTTCCAGGAGAGAGGCAATTTATAGGCACATACGCAAAACAAATAGGGTTCGAGACCGAGGAAAAATGCACTTCAGCTGATATCGAACCAGGAAGTAATAGTGAGTCGCGTTTCTGAGCCACATCGAGCCAGAACATCATAGTGCGTCCCATTTCTAGATCTGTTAGGGCTAAAATCGAGTTAGAACACGGTGAGTCGCATCTCTGGGCAAAATCGAGCCAGAACACCATAGTGAGCGCTGCCAGGCCGCTTTGCCGGGCCGCCGCCAGGCCCGGGAAACGCCTCCCCCTGGCCCCCCTGTGTTGGGGTTCTGGTTAGAGGAAACATTTGATCACCATGAGAACCCTCATTAGCGAAACTCTATGAGGGAACAACCTTTCTCAATCATCTAAGGTTATCTGACGCTTTTTGGCCTCTCGGGGGCGCCCTTGGAAGGGAGCCTCTTGGCCGTGTCGGAGCTCTTCCGGAACTGTCCTGGAGACCATCTTGGGCATGCCAGAGGCGGTCGAAGGGATTGGAGGCCCAGAGGGCCCCTGGGATGTGCCAGGGAGCCCGTATTTGCTCCCTCGAGCGGCATTTTGGGCCCCCAGGGCGGGGGGCAAGGGAGAGAGAGGACCGCCCGTCCTTTCACACGTCTTTCCACCCCGGCAAAGAGGGGATCGGCGCACTTCGTTGCCCCGACCTCGCGCCCGGTCCTGCAATTTCCCAGGGTGTCGGGCACATGGTTGACAGAATTGGGCCCCTTCCCCGACAAAGCAACAATCGGTTTAATATATGCATACATGTGATATGTATGTATATGTATATACGTCTACGTGTCTAGGTGTCTGTATATATATATATATGTGTATCTGTCTATACGTGTATGCAGGAATATGTGTATTTGTAAATCGTCTGCATGTATGTATACATCTACGTTTATCACATTTGGTTGAATAGCATTTTTGAAAATATAAACTCTGACAGTGTCCGTATTTATGTCTATGTACATGTCTATGTTTGTGTACATGTACATGTATACGCGTATGGATAGGTGTGTGTAATTCATGCTCAAATATATGTGTGTATATACGTATATAAACACACATATATATATGTAAGTCGTATTTCACCTTGCATGTATTAGTTGTAGCATATGTATATATATATATACACGCGTTTTTGGATATGTGTATATGTATATGCATATGCTTACGTCTATGCATATCGATCTATACTTTCATCTTCATATACATATGTAACCGTGCATGTTTATGTGTGTGTATATATAGATATATGCGTATATATGTTTATACGTAGGTATCGATTTGTACATGCATATGTATATGTACGTGCATATGCGTATTTATGCTAACGTGTATATGTTAAGGTATATGTATGTGTATAGGTTTGTGTACTTGCAAGTGACTATGTCTATGCATATGTATATGCATATGTATACGTGCACGTGTATTTATACAGATATACACATGTGTTAAAAGGTATATGTTTATGTCTACGCATGCGTACTTGTACATGTATGCGCACAGGTGTTTGCATGTTTATAATCACAGCTGTGGATATGTATGTGCGCATGTATACATATACATGTATTTCTAGGTATATGTATATTTATACGAATATATTTAGTTATATATATATATGCATACGTATACGTTTATGCATATGTATATGTATACGCATAAGTATTTGCCAATGTATCTCTACATGTTCATATATATACATATATATATATAGGCATCTGTATATGTACATGCATATGTAAATATCTATGGCAATATCTATGTATACGTATATGTACATGTTTATGCTTTTGTGTACATGCATGCAAATGCATGCGTACATGTATATGTTTATGTTTATGCATGTATATGCATATGAATGTATATGTATACATGTTTCCATGCTTGTATATGTATGTGCATATGTATTTGTATATGCAAATGTATATGTATATGCATAGGTATGTTTGTAAGCATATGTATATATATATAGATATATGTGTATATAATTATGTACCTTTCTTCATACACATGGTTCTGTATATTCCAGAGGCGTTGATCATGTAAGCTTATGCTTCGAGCTGCGCTGTGAGAGTACGCCAAGGCCGCACCTGTGTTGGAGCTGCTCGCAGGAGAAGGAGGCGTCTTGGTGGTCAGGCAGGACGTGGGCATCGAGCGGGTATCAGGGCCCTCGCCCAGGAAGACGTGGACATTGACCGGATGCTTCTTTTCCAGGACTGCCCCGCGCCCACGGAGGACGAGTCCTCTCCAGGCGCCGCCCTCGTGGAGCGCGTCAGCTCGTCACTCTTCCGCCTGCAGTTACTCCCTTGCCTCCCTCGGTCTTCTGTCGATTCTGTCGATCCCCGTTCGTCGGCCCCTCTCACGCTCGCGCCCCTCCGGCATCCGCACCACCGCGGTGTCGTGTTCTATTTGGAACGCGCTGTCTGCGGCTCGGCAAGCATAGAATACTGCTCTGGCAGATTGCCAGAATGTCGAGCGCTATGTGATTGACTGCTTGGTTTGGACATAGTCTTCGACGGAGGCGCACTGTTTTCGTGACAGCAAGGAGACCGACCATCACGTGGTTTTTGGTTCAGGGATGCCTTGAGGTGCGGAAGGCGGCTCTTTATCCATGTTACAGCGATGCATTGTTGTTGTATCGCCTTTTGTAGGCCTCTTCGGGGCCTCGTGCGGGCATCTTCGAGCCTCCTGGGGTATCTGGTTGGATCCCTCGCATTCATCTTCGGGGCCTTTTGAGTGTCATGAGGCAGTGCTTGAGGGCGCCGCGGCCATGTGGGTCCTAGGGCCGTCTCGGGGATGTTGTTGCCAGTTGGGGGAGCTGTCCTGGGCCAGTGTTAGGCCGTCTTGGGACTTCCTTGAGGCGGGCTTCGGCCGTCCTGGGCCGTCCGGGGGTGGGGGCGGCCTGGGCCGTCTTGGGGCCATTTTGCGATGCTCCGCGGGGCCTACGGGGCCACTGGAAGGCCCTGTGGATGCCTCCCAGAGGCCGTCTCGGGTCAGCTGGGGTGGTCCCTCTAGCCTCTGCCCCTCCTGCTTCCCCCTCCCCTTCCCTCAGGAGCACAATTGTCGGGTTGGGAGGATGGGGTTGGGAGACCTGAGGATATCACTGCCCGTAGGCGGCCGAAGGTATCGTTCACTGCATCCGGATGCTAGTGCTCATACCCTTCGTTCTCTCAACCCCTTCCTCCCGACACGGCCATTGTTCTCCTCATCCCCCCCCCCTTTCCTCCCCTGCAGCTCCCGCTGCCCCTGCACGGCGACTCAACATGGATGCTGCTCCCCTCGCTCCCGGGATGCTGTGCGAGCGGCGCCGCGGACGATGCGCTGCCTTTGCTTTTCTAGATGGCCACACGCGAACCCTACCCCTACCCCCCACGATTTCTGAGGGGGAGGGTGGGGTTCACTTCGCTCGGGAGGCTGCTCCAGTCGGAACGCCCCGTTTTCTCGAGGCTGTGCTCCCGCTGCATCGTGGGCCCCCCTGCAGGACCGGCGCTTTGCTCCCGCCGTGCAGGATGGCGTTCTCGCCCCGGCGCGGGCCGCGTGTCTGGTGCCGGCCCCCTCCTCGCCGTGGTCGCCCCCTCCTTCCCCCCCCCTTCACCTTCCACTCGGGCATCCTGCTCGCCCCGATCCTCCCATTCCTGCGGTTGCTGTCCTCCTCCTCTTCCTCGTTCCTCCTGTTCCTCCTGCCCGTCCTCCTGCTCATCTGCTACCTCCTCCTCATGCTCCAGTGTGCACAGTTCTCCTTGATGGTCGCGCATCACACGGTGAGGTCATTCGGTGGATTCGGGTCCACTAGGACCCTCACCTGCGGACATTTTAAGAAGTCAGCGCAAGGGGAAGGGATGGGTGGGAGTGAGTGGTAGGATGTCAAAGATTGCGCCCGCGCGCCTAGCTTGCCACCTCCCCCTCTCGAATCTCCCTCGCGCTTGCCCCCCCCCTCCCTTGCTCCCTCTCCCTCCCGCTCCCTCTTCTCCTTCCCTCCGCCGCCCGCTTCTCTCCTGCTCCTCCAGGCCAGCATTCTGCGGCGCGCGCGGCGTACACGACGTACCGCGACCGTGGAAGGTGCCGCAACCGCCCGATGGCCTTGGACGCCAGGCGTGAGTTCGAGGCTGACAGTCGTCGTCGTTGTCGTTGTCGTCGTATTCGTCATGGGGTCCTTGGCCCGCGGGGCCTTGGCTTTTTGAACGCCACAAAGCTTCCGTATAATGTTCCTATACACCACCACCATGCCGGGGTAAATTCATTGCAAATGAAATCCAGCTCTCTTTTACTACCGCACAGGCTTGCGCGCCCGTTGCAGAAAAGTCATGCGTAGGGGGTCACCCCGTGAAAAACAAACTTTTTCCCAAACCTATGGTGTATACCGTTCAACCAACAGTAAGGAGGATTGCATATACACCATAGAAAGGGCTTTGGTGTATACGTCAAAAAGCCACAGGAAACCATATACACCGTGCACCAGCATTTGTGGATTTTTTTCAAGGGGTGTCGCGGGGTCGCTGCGGTTGTGGCGAGCTTGCATGTGACGCCCAGGATCAGACCAAACAAATTAGTTTCATGTTTCGCAGAACAAGGTGGTGGTGTATAGATGTTTTCTCCGTGAAGCTGTTGCCTCTGGCGTTGGGAAACCGCCACCTCCTCGCCAGCCTGCCTCCTCCTTCTCCTCCTTATTTTCCTGTATGCATACCTCCTCCCTGTCGCACCCCCAAACGTGTGGGTAGGGCTGGCCGGGCGTTTCGACTGAGTTCTTCATTGCTTATGATGATGAAACTTGAAACGTGCAATTGTTTTACGGATGAAGGGTGGGTCGTTTTCAAAATGGCGTCTTTGCCTCAGTGCCGCGCACATTTGTTTTTAAAGTGTTGCAACAGCGTCAGGGATGGAGGGTGGGTGGTTCCTTTTCAAACTGGGGCTCTCGTCTGAGCGCCGCGCACGTTCGCATTAACACATTGCATCAGTTCCAATGACGGGTGGCAGCTCTTTTTCACCACGAGGCCCTCGCTTTATCGCAGCTCACAGTGGTCTCCAAATTTGCAGCAGCTTCAAGCATGGTGGCAGGTCCCCGTTCAACATGGGACCGTCGCCCTGGCGCCGCGGATATTTGTCTTCAAATGTTCGCAGCAGTTTCACAGACGGAGATTTGTGTATATATGTATTTTATATATATATACATATATATATATATATATACGTGGGCTCTCGCCTTATCATCGCTCACATTCGTCTTCAACGCTTGCAGCCTTCGCACGAATTGTTGTGCGGTTCCTTTGCAGAGCTGTGCTTCCGCTTCAGACCTCATTACCGTTTACAAGCCAGAAGCTTAGGAGGAAGAGGAGGAGGAGGATGAGGAGGAGGAGGAGGAGGAGGAGGAGGAGGAGGAGGAGGAGGAGGAG